AGCCCCGGCTGGCGGACTTCGGGCTGGCCAGGCTGGTGCTCCCGACGGACACGCACGTGACGACGGACCTGGTGGGCACGCTGGGGTACATCCCGCCGGAGTACGGCAGCTCGTCGGTGGCCACCTACCGCGGGGACGTGTACAGCCTCGGCGTGGTGCTGCTGGAACTCGTCACGGGGCGGCGGCCGGTGGACATGGCGCGTCCCGTGGGCGGCGGCCGGGACGTGACGTCGTGGGCGGTAAGGATGCGGCGTGAGGCCAGGGGCGACGAGGTGATCGACGCCAGCGTCGGCGTCGGCGTCGGCGAGAGGAGGCACCGGGAGGAGGCGGCGAGGGTGCTGGACGTGGCGTGCGCCTGCGTCAGCGACAACCCCAAGTCGCGGCCCACGGCGCAGCAGGTGGTGGAGTGGCTCGACGCCATCGCCGCCTCTGCCTCGCCGGTGCCGCGGACGACTGACACAGAGCACGCCGTGAATAGTTGTAACTGGAGATGAATGGGTAGTGTAAAATGAAAATTGGAGATGTGCTCTTGTAAAACTAAAGTTTTGGAGTAGTGCATTGATCAATTAACCGTATATATAATCATACATACACAGAGTAACTGCTGACACTGTAACAAATCAGAACATATTCTGCGTCTCCGGTCCTTTGGTTGAAAGAAATTGTTACTGTATGATCATTCATTCGCCATACAGTAAAGATAAATATTTATTACTGACAGTGTGCTCATTCATAGAATCACGGAGCTTGGTGCAAATATAAATACTAGAGTATATGTCAATTTTTTTTTGTAAGACACTGTTTGGGGGCTCTGGAGGGTTCCGGTTCCTCCCACTTACTGTGGTGTTACTGCACCAAGAAGTTATTTTTGGTGCCTGGGGCGAAAAATAACCTAAGGAAGAAGAGAAGCCGGCGAAGACTATGATAGGTGAAAAAAACTGCTACAGTGAAAAGTGTTTAAGCAGTACATAACACAGTGCATAAACAAATCGTGCGACAATTGCCCCACTTGACCATTATATGCGCATCTTAGACTCTCTAAATGACTCCACAAGTGTGTCAAAACTTAACAGGGACATATGTCCCCAAGTTTGATTGAGCACCGGTTGGTTCGTGAGGAATCTGAAGGTGGGTAAACTTTGTGAACATTAACTACTTTGTGTCATGGCACACGAGAAATTCTCTTGGCATATAGCATCTTCAGGAGACATTCTAAATTCCACGCTCCATATCTTCATTTGGCTAGCTACTCCATAAATATTCTCTCTATATAATTTCAACACACTCCAACAGGTTAGCCATATCTCATAGTCTATATTCTCTATTGATCTATATTTTATATCAGTATTAAAATTAGTATGGGTTTACATATTTTTTTCAAGATTTTTGAGAATTAAATCAATACTCTTAAGTTCAGATATTTTACAAAAATAGTCAATTTTGAAGAATTTAAATTTCTAAGAGACTTTGAGTTAAATGCAACTAAAATGTGTTCTCTGTTATTTATTCTATTGGCAAAAAATAGACATTAAGTTTGGAGCTTGATATAATCACCTTTTAAATTTATGAGAGGCAAAAGGAATGGAATTTTAGAGCAATACAAACATGGTACTAGCTGTCAGTGTTACATATGCTAATATAGCAAGGCACACTAGCTAGCCAAATTCGACTTCCAACCCTCACGGGATAGCGTGTCAAATAACTAAAAAAGAAATAGTAAGTTGAATACGACTCTCTTGGAGATGCTCTTGGTGCCGAAGACACGCAACTTTTTTCTCTCTTTGTCAAGCTAACACAAACACAAACACCCCGCAGAATTATGTAACTACTCGTGACTTACGTAACTATACTATACGGTAATTAGCGCACCACTAGCATCAGGTAGACTATATTCTTGACCTCTTCCTGATACTGTTCTGAGTTTGGTGCGCATCCGCGCCTCCATTCGGTCATCCGCGCATCCGTTCCTAGTCGACCGACACAAGTGAAGCGGCCCAGGAATCGAGATGAGGACCAAGCTATTCACTTTGACGGCGGCGGCGGCGAGTCTGGGACGGCTGCCCATAAGGTGTATGATGTGGCGTTCATCCCTAATTAACAATAGTGCAGAGAAGATGCAATTTGCATCTTCGCTAGACTGACGATAGACAAGAGTAGCAGCAAATGCATTTTATTGGTTTCACCGAACGAGGGAAGGAAGAAGAAGGTGTATAGTGTGTCCGTCTAAAGTTATCTACTCGCTCTGTCTAGAAAAAAAAACAGTTCTCGTATTTGGAGAAACCAAATGTTTCTATCAAATTTATATGAAAAATACTAACATTTACAAAACAAAATAAATATTATAGATTAATTATGAAATATACTTTCACAATAAAAAGATTTAGAGACATAAATATGAATACTATTTATTGTAAACTTGATCAAACTTAAATTACTTGATACCATAGTTGCATTCTTTTATGATTGGAGGGAGTACTATATTACTATATTACTATGGAATAAAAAAGTATGTGTGAATGGCTTTTTTTTCTTCAGGAAAAAATCTGAAACAATACAAGCAAATCACAAATCCTAACCGCGAGGGCTATAGTTCGATGACAAAAGATATGGTGCATTGTAGTTCTAGACGACGATCTACGACACACTTTGATCCGGTGTTGCCGAAGCAGCGATGTGTGCCCCACGACCGGATGTAGCCACACAGTTGCCACAGAAGGGCTTGCTTAGCTCAGGGCGCCAGGGGATGCTCACATTTATGGTCGCCCATAGGACCAGACTAAGGGGGTGTTTGGTTACACCTCCTAAACATTAGTCGTTGTCCCATCGGATGTTTGACACATGCATGTAGTATTAAATATAGATTATTTACGAAACTAAATGCACAGATTGAAACTAATTTACGAGACGAATCTATTAAGCCTAATTAGTCCATGATTTGACAACGTGGTGCTACAGTAAACGTGTGCTAATGACGGATTAATTAGGCTTAATAAATTCGTCTCGCGGATTACTGATGTATTCTGTAATTTATTTTTTTATTAGTATCCGAACATCCCATGCGACACCCCCATGTGACACCTCCTAAAATTTAGCCACCGGATCCAAACGTCCTCTAACAGCAGAATTGCGATGGATGCTAGGCCGCCTTCCAGCCAATCATGCTGCCCGTATGTAAGGTTGAACATAAGGGCAGAGCAGGAGGGCCATGCCCCCCCCTTGACCCACCCACCCACCCAGGCAGCACTTTCTCGCTCAAAACTTGACCATCCGCAACGAGCTCCGCGATCAGCGCCGTCAGCTGGGTGGCGTGGAACAGGGAGCACGTCGTCAAGGAGACCGCGGACAACGTCAAGTACATGGAGTTCAACAACAGACGGCCCGACACAGACACCACCCACCGTGTCAACTAGAAGGGCATCCAAGTCTTCCACGCCGCCGCCGCCCCGGTAGCCAAGTACACCGCCGTGGATAACTTCATTGTGCCTTGGGTATTCTACTGGTGCTTTAGTGTTCCAAGAGTTGCTCTTGAGGTCACTTGCCGTGGTCAACTAAGGCTCTTACAGTATTTAACAGGGGAGCTATCGGTGGTCGTTTTTTGTTTTGTTTTGTGTGTTGCATTTGTGTGTGTGTGGTCATTCCACGAGGTAGTTGCAGGCGATGGTAGTGAGTTAGTGCATGCATGGTTTTGGGCAAACTTGTTCTGGCCTCACCTGGCACAAGCAATGTGTCAGGCCCGAAGAGCCAATTTAGCCTAGGATTTTATTATATGGCTACCGTATAAAATTATTCATATGGAATCCTATAAAAAACATTTATTTATGAATTTGGTAAATGATTCTAAAAGTTACAATTTAATTCACTATGCAGGCGCTAGATAATATAATATGTCTTGAACTTACCAGATTACAATATAAATAGTTTAAATCCAATACTGGTAGTTTAAAACATAGATATAAAAGAGACTTACAGTAATACTCATACGACTTGTTTTGGTGAACCATGAAAAACAATATCTCATCTAAATATCATCTGAATAATGTCTCTGATACATAGATAATTATTGCTAAGTAATTATGCAACCAAGCTTTTTTTAGAAAAAAAAAAGATGATTCAGCGGCGCCGCGACAATTACAATCTGTAGTGGTTCGAGAATTTCCGATTGAGCTGCCATATTCATATCAATGGTGTGCAGTTGATTTTTGTATGTCGTCCTGGTTGATTCCTGGGCCGTCGAATCGAGCACCAAGATATGGCCCGCTAAAAGCTTTGGTAGGGCATAGGTGGGCCTGGAACAACTCAAAGGCACCCACGATTTTTGACGTGGGCCAAGCTTTGGCAGGGCAGTGTCCAAATTAAACGCAAGTAACTAATTTTCCTGTGGGGATCAAGTCCCGTTGCTAATCTCTAGCTGCCAGTGCCGAACAATCGTTGCATCCAAATGCACTGGGAATTGGAATATAATAATGCAGAAAGCGCATGTTATATGCATATTTTTAGTTTACGCTGAGTTATCATGCATGCGGACCACAAAACAATATATGTTTCGTTCTCAAATATCTAGTAGCCTAGTACATTATATATATCATCAAAGGCACACCATAGACATGTACATATATGAAACAAAAAGAGGTATGCACACGGTACGCCACCATAACAAAAACTAGTACCAATAGCAGCAGTAAGCAGTACTTCCTCCATTCCAAATTATAAGACGATGTTCAAGATACATTGTCTTTTGGATCTATTTTTTTAAACGGACTGGGCAGAAGAGTTGCCGATTATATTGTATTTTACTAATAAAGAAAGAGACTCAAATCGGACAAACAACGATCCACAAAGGAGGTTACAAAATAAAACAACACCGACTACAATAGTTTGAACAACTCTGCCAACAGCAAACAACACGTATCACCAACACAACCACAACAACCGAAAAGAAGATAACGTCTAATAATAAAAATAATAAAGAAAAACCAAAAAAAGAAACCTCCTTTGGGGATCTATCCTTCTGTACTAATAACGGCGAGTTGGATTTTATTTTCGCCGTTGTGGATGTTCACGTTGGTGGCGTTGATCGTGATGTCAGTCGTCGTGTTGAAGCAGCTGCATGTCCTATACCTGTACGCCCCGTAACCACCACCAAGAATCGCTATCAGGCTTCCTATCACACCAAAGATCCACTTGAGAAGGCTCTTAGTAGATGTGGATGTGGGGGCTTTGGTGTGGGTGTCGTCGGCGTCGCAGAGGCTGGGCCGCACAACCATGTAGACACCGTCTGTTGCGAGCAGGAGGGCATTCTTGTCTGCATCTTCCGCAAAGGAGGTAACGCTGCCGCCAGCAAAGTCGCCGCCGCGGCAGGGAGATGTAGCGGTAGGTGCGGCGCACGTGACCCGGAGGTTCCGAGTGGTGGTGTAGTTGCGTGCCGGCGACGCCACCGTCCACCAGAATTCCTAGCGTTCCATGTAGATATAGATGTATATATAGTGAGTAGTGAAACACAAGGATGCATGGTGAATGAACCGGTGAGGGAGGGAAATGAATGAATGAACCAAACCAAGTGGAAGTCGGGGCATTACAATACCTTTCGGTGAGGGTGTTGTCCGCGTAACCCCGGTAAAGCAGGCCTCCTACTAGGGATGGCGGCGTTCCTGGAGTGGGCCGTTGGTGGGCCACGACGAGCGAGGCGCTTGGCGGCGTGGCAGAGGGGGATGGACCGTCTGAGGTGAGGTATACAACCTCTTGCTCTTCCTGCGCGTTACGAGTTCCGTTGGTAAATGCATTGGACTCACCACAACACCAACAACACACACACACACACAAAAAAACAGCACTTGCAGCAGCAGCGAAATACTGTAGATTTCCTTTTTTTTAAAAAAAGCCACAATAACCTCAACGGTTGCGCAGTAGAGGTCGTGAGGTTTGTCGGCATCGAACGCGCATCGCCTCGGGACGCCTAAGACCGATGCGTATACTTGGACCTCCATGGAACCGATTCCTGACGCAAATTATGTTGAGATTTGAAGGTGATTTGTGTTTGCGATGAGATGATGAGAAATGAAAAAAAACAAACAAGTAAATCGTACAGCATACCCGACGACGTGTCTTGTCCAACACGGAAGCGCAGGATTTTTGCTTGCAGCTGACCATCGCTCTGGGCCGGGCCAGTGACAAGGTAAAGGAAAGGGTCGGTGGTGGTGGGCCGAAATAGGATCTGACCACCGTAGTAGTCGAGAAGAAAGCCCGATGAAGAGGAGCGGGGCTCCGATTGATCAGGCAAGGCCATCGAGAACACCCTCGTAGTCGTAAGCTGGGCCCGGTTCGCTGCGCTGCGCTGCTGTCGAAGTGTCAAAAAAAAAAAAAAGAGGATGAACTGATCAACTGCCAACAGAGAGACAGGATGAATCGAACTGCACTGACCTCATGCCCCTCGCTCCAGGATGCTGATGAGGATAGTTGGTCGACAACGAGGAAGGCGCTGCCGCCGTCGGGGCCAACGGTGGTGGTGTAGTAGGACACGAACAATTGGCCGCTGGAATGGACCGCGACTCCAGCGAGGCCCCGCGCGGCGGCGTCCTGGCTGACGAGGCGGCTGCCGAGGTCGACCAACGGCTTGTCGACCACGCGGAGGACGGAGCCGCCGGTGGGGTCCACCACATCCACCGTAGCCAACCATATCTGCCCGTTTCTTCGCCAGCAGAGAAGTCGGCCAGATCCGTCATGAAGTGGCACCACACCATCGTACGCCTGCGTCGAAGCCTTGTGCACGCACAGCGTGCTGCTGCCGCCGCCGCCGTCGGTGCTGCCTAGGTCGTCGTCGTGACGGGTAGTGGAGATGGACGACGGCGGGGCCGCGGCGCCGGCGCAACGGAGAGGAAGCGCGGAGGGCGGGTCGTCGTCGGCAGACACGCACACCTGCGCGAGACGAACAGCAGAGTGTATTATGAGCTTCCAGAGGATTTGGGCGAGACTCCAAGTGGAATGATTGCTGGGCTGTTGGGCCAACAGATTACATAGGTATCTTTGCGCTACTTGGGCCATGGCCCCAGGCCTGAGCCCTCCCTTGATTATCAGAAGGAAATCCGCACGCCACCGGCCCACCAGCGGCGGCGGCCACTGCACGAGTAACGGTTGCCTCAAATTAAACAAGCAGCATGTGGACTCTCGTTACTCGTTTGTATTTGGATAAAAAAACAAAAACACCCGGGTAACGGTACCCGCCACCGCCAGTCCCCGGCGGCGACGCGCAGCAGCGAGAGTGCAAGACAGAAAGGAGCACACCCGACCCGCCAGAAAGGAGAGGTGGAACCATGACGGACTTACCGCACAGATGTAGGCCTTCAGCTCGGATCTGCAGGCAGCGTCCTCGTAACCGTGGGCTTTCACCTCGGCGAGGAATGCCTCCCGCAGCTTCAGGTCGTCTTCGGCACTGCAGCTGCAAGACCCACAGAAGGGCGTCGTCGTTCCTACAACAAATTAATTAAAGCACATACAAAGAAAAGATTGTTCAGCAGCAGTACACGCGTGATAAGAAAGCAAACGGCGGATCGGATTGATATGCAAAGATGATAGATGATGCATGTTATGTTAATTACCTGCACACGAAGCAGCAGCAGGAGGAGGTGAACACGACGCATCAAGAGACAAGCAGGCGAGGGAGAGGAAGAGGACGATCCGCATCATCGTCATGGAGTCGGCGATGCAGTACCCAGTAGCCTAACAGAGTGGAAGCAGTAGCTACTGCTGTTCAGTAGTAGGGGTGCTGTCACAGCTCGAACGAGAGATACTTATAGGGGATGGGGGGGGTGGGCGGAGAGCGCGCGCCCGGTACCAGGAGGGCAGGAGGGGCGGGAATCGACAGACCAGTCACGGGGGGAATTGACTAAGGCCCCGTTCGTTCTTTTGGGAATTGATTCCCGGCGTCAAAACGACTTAACCGAACGAGCCCTAAGAGAGATCGAGATTAGACACGCTACAAGCTTTGGTAGGGAATAGCTGGGGCCTGCAAAAGGCACCCACGATTTTTGACGTGGGCCCAGCTTTGGCATGGCAGCGTCCAAATTAAACGCAAGTAACTAATTTTTCTGTGGGGATAGCTGCCAGTGCCGAACAATCGTTGCATCCAAATGCAACAGGAATTGGAATATAATAATGCAGAAAGCGCAGGTTATATGCATATTTTTAGTTTACGCTGAGTTATCGTGCATGCGGACCACAAAACAATATATGTTTCGTTCTCAAATATCTAATAGCCTAGTATTATATATATATATATATATATATATATATATATATATATATATATATATGTGTGTGTGTGTGTGTGTGGAGAGTATATTAAGTAGCCAGCTACAAAATAAGTTATTCTGTAGCCACCTCCATTTACGATAATTTTATATAATAATTTACGATAATGTCAATACATATTTGCGATAGTTGGATTACTATAACACATGGGGATATTTACCATAACGTTATATATATATATATATATATATATATATATATATATATATAACTACTACCCTGTAGCTGGCTACAAAATGACTTATTTTGTAGCCACTTTGAGTTACGATAATTACAATATTAATTTACGAGATTATAGTAACTACTTACTAAGTGGTTTACTATAACATTATGGTAAATATCCCCATATGTTATAGTAACCCAACTATCGTAAATATGTATTTATTGACATTATCGTAAATTAGTATATAAAATTATCGTAAATAGAGGTGGCTATAGAATAACTTATTTTGTAGCTGACTACTGAATATATATATATATATATATATATATGAAACAAAAAGAGGTACGTACATGGTACGCCACCATAACAAAAACTAGTACCAATAGCAACAGCAAGCAGTACTTCCTCCATTCCAAATTATAAGACGATGTTCAAGATATATTGTCTTTTGGATCTATTTTTTAAACGGACTGGGCAGAAGAGTTGCCGATTATATTGTATTTTATTAATAAAGAAAGAGACTCAAATCGGACAAACAACGATCCACGAAGGAGGTTACAAAATAAAACCACACCGACTACAATAGTTTGAACAACTCTGCCAACAGCAAACAACACGTATCACCAACACAACCACAACAACCGAAAAAAGATAACGTCTAATAATAAAGAAAAACCAAAAAAAGAAACCTACTTTGGGGATCTATCCTTCTGTACTAATAACGGCGAGTTGGATTTTATTTTCGCCGTTGTGGATGTTCACGTTGGTGGCGTTGACCGTGATGTCAGTCGTCCTGTTGAAGTAACTGCATGTCCTGTAC